TCAAAGCAGCTTGAACTTCTTCCTTCATCACCATAGGCTCTTGTTCATATGTTATTTCATTAAATTCTTCTGTATCTGCCAATTCCTTTCTATACAATGACTCAGTATATTCCTTTCATCTTCTTTTAATACTTCCTAGATCATTTAATATTCTGCCCAAAGCATCCTTTAATTGTATTAAAGCCATAGATTAGGGCTTCTAAATTTGTTGCTGTTTTTGCTCTCATATCTTTAGAGTTTATAGTTTTATCTCTAAGTCCAAATTATCTCTAGTTCCCATATTCAGTTTGATTTAGTTTTGGTATATGGTGTGAGATTTAGATCTTGTTTCAGTTTTCTGCAAAAACATGTCTAGTTTTTCCAGCACTAAAGGCCAATTGATCCTAGGTGGATAGCTAGATTTCTGGGTTCTCAATTCTGTACTTTGGTCTTTGTGTCTTTTATTGTACTAGTACCATGCTGTTTGATGACTATGGCTATGTAGTAGGTTTTATGGCCAGAGAATGCAATCCTGCTTTGTTTATTTGGAATTCCTTCCTTTCCAAATAAATTTGGAAATTAACCTTTTCTATTTCTTTCAAGAATAACATGACTGTCTTTATTAGGATTGCATTAAACTTTTAAGTTACTTTTGGTAGGATAATTTTTAAAATACTAAATCTTCAAAAGATGTGTCTCATTAGGAAAATCTGCTGTCAGGGAGCTCTCCAAAGTGCTAAAGAGCAATGATGTCATTTTAAAGACTAAAGTGTGCCCGATCTAAGCCATGGTGTTTGCATTCACTTGCTATACATCTGAAAATTTGACAGTGACTAAGTATGAGAGAAGAAGAGTCAATACTTTTGAGTTGTGATGCTTCAGAATTGCTGAATATCTCACAGACTGCCAAGAGAACAAACAGATCTGTCTTGGAGAGACTGAAACTTGCTTCTTAGATGCAAGGATCATGAACTTCATCTCACAAGATTGTTGATTGTGGAGCTGAGAAAGCTGTAATTGTTAGCATCCTCAATCTCTTCTCCATCCGTAATGGTGCTCTCAATTTACCCAGTGGTGAGAATCTTTATCTTTTTGATGTTGAGTAACACACAACAAACAGAACCCCAGAAACTTAAGTGACTGCCATCAAGAGGAGACCACCATCAAGATGCCAGCTAGCCAGCCAACTCCTAGTGCGGAGGGAGACTCCAAGGCTCCAGGACCCAGGCCAGCCCACAGACCCATCACCTCAGTATCAATTTTAAAGCCAAACCCTCGGACAGGCCTCCACATTTAGTCTAAGGCTCAAGGGCCACCCACTTTTGAGGAGGGAATAAGAACAATAACACACAACAGGACCCCAAAAACTTTTCTTACGTGACTGCCATCAAGACAAGACTGCCACTGAGAAGAGTCTTCTTTGTTAAGCTTTTGTGTTGTTGGGTGGAGTGTTCTGGATATGTCTGTGATTTCAAGTTGGTTAATGTATAGTTTAGTTTTTCTGCATCTTTGTTGAGTTTGTTTCTTTTTGTTCTGTCCTTGAACAAGAGTGCTGTATTGAATTCTTACTATTGTGGTGTTGTCAATATCTAGCTTTAGTTTTTTAAAGTTTGTATTTTGCATCTATTTATCATTCAGTACATAGATACTAATTAAGGTTATGTCCTCTTGTTCCGTTGACCCTTTAAGCATTCTTTTATGTCCTTCCTTGTCTTTTATGTTGATTTTTACATTGAAGTCTATTTTATCGTAGATTAACATTGCCACTCCTGCTTTTATATGGTTGCCATTTGATTAATGTATTTTTTCCCCTGTCCTTTGATTTTTAGTCTATCCTTATGTTTCCTATATGTTTCTTGTAGACAGCATAATGATGGATTTTGTTTTCTTATCCATTCTGCTACTCTTTTTCTCTTAACTGGTACATTTAATCTGTTCACATTCACTATGATTATTGAAGGTCAAGGCTTTATTACTGCCATTTTTGTAGTGTTGAAGACTACTTTAATTCATCCACTTTGCTTCCTTTATGGAAGAACTTTATTTAGAATTTCTTGTATGGTTGGTCTTGTTTTTAACAAATTCCGTTTTGAACTTCTTTTGGAGGTCCTAATTTCTCTGTCATATTTGATGGGCAATTTTTCTGGACACAGGAGTCTTACTTGACATTTTTTCCTTTTAGAAATTTGTTATGCCATCCCATTGTATTCTTGCTTACATGGTTTCTGCTGAGAAATCTGAGCTTAATCTTACTGGCTATCCTTTGTTGGCAACTTTTCATTTTCTTACGCTGCTTTTAGTACTCTATTACTGTCTTGTATTTTTGAGAATTTGACTCTGATATGTCTTGATTATTTTTCTCTTGGGGTCAATCCTGTTTGGGGTTTACTTCTTGAAAGTATCTCCCCCCCCCCATTTTTCATGATACCTGCAAAGTTTTCCTCTTGTAAATATCCCACAATTTTCTCTGTGCTTCCCCTCCCCCATTCCTGTTCTGGAATTCCGTCACGTGTGTTATTTCTCTTAATGGTATCCCACATAATTCATATACTTTCTTTTTTTTAAATTAATATACTTTCTTCATTTTACTTCTTGTCTCAATTTTTTGTACTAGCAGGTTAGTTAGTGTTAAGGGCTCTGTCTTCTGTTTTGCTGATTTTGTGTTCCAGTTCTTCATTTATGCTTTTTTTGTCCCTCTCACATCACTAGTCTGGCAACGGGTGTGGCAGTCCTCTGGGTTACCCGTGAAAATAGTTTTTGCACTAGAGGATTGTTAGCTCTGCCAGAAAAAGCTGTACATGAGTTCCCATACACTTTGTTTCTGTGAGATTCCTTAACACCAGATTCAAAATGATATTAGTGGATTTCTGCACACTGTGTTTTTGAGGAATTTCTCAGTGCCAGATTAAAAATGATGTTGGCCTGCTCACAATAGGGAAAGGGTTGTGCCCAGGGTACTAAGAATGGCCTGTAAATTCAGACAGAAACTTTATTTGACTGGTTGTCAGTAAGTAATGGGGGAGATGAGATCTGGTAGATCTCTATTTGTGAGCTCCAAACTCAGCCTCCTGGCAGCTGTTCAGGTTGGATTTGTAGAACTGCTTTTATTCTCTTCAGTTAGTCTTCATTTGTGCTGTCACTCTCCTCTGTGTCTGACTTTGCCTTTAATAATTTCCCCAAAATTTTAGGGTGCTAGTATTACTGTTGATGAGTGGACTTCCTAGCTTTTGGGTGTCCCTGCCAGAGAGGGACAGATTGCCTGGCCAGGCTAGTTTAGCATCTCATCAGAAGTTCTAATTGTATTTATTTTTTAAATAATTTATTTCATGTTGCAAAATTAAATCCTTTTAGACCTTAAAAAGATCTGTGACATTCTGTATGTTTGATCCTTCTTGCAATCTCCAACTAGTTTTAAGTATTTTCTTTCTGAGAACATGTGAAAAATAACCAATTTTGCCACGAGATATACTGTATATATTAACTTAGGATAGTCTAATAAGTCTTCTCTTTTCTGTACATAGGCCTCATTCCAGCGCTCCAATAGTCATGACAAAGTGAGGAGAATTGTTGCAGAGGAGGGGCGCACAGCAAGAAACCTAATAGCTTGGAGTGTTCCACTAGAAAGCAAAGATGATGATGGTATGTATTTTAAAAAAATTCATTTTTAATGTAAATTAAGGGATATACTTAGTCCAGAACAGTACACGTATTGTGAAAACTGTTTATAATTAGAACTCTTGAGAATTTTATTATGTTTAATAAGGTAAGTAATTGTTTATTAATAACCTCTGGTGGCATACTTTATTATGTTTTGGGATGTTAATGGAAAGATATGTCAAGCCTCCAGCTCCTCCAAGGGAGAAAGATTAGGCACTTTTTGGTAAAAATTTACAACTTCAGAAGCCTGTTGGAGAGTTACCATGAGTCAGAATCAGCCTGAAGGCAGTGGGTTTTATTGTACCTAATAAAAGTAATTTCATAACAGTGTTGTTTTTAGTTTACCTGTTTCTTATATAAATAAAGTTGAATTAATTATATTATAACTATAAGTGGTAGACAAGTTTCCCGTGCAACTTATATGAGATTTACATTTTTCTCTGGTGTAGTAGTTTATAGACGGTTGTGCTGCTAACCCAAAGGCCAGTGAGTTTGATTTATTATAAAAATGAAAAAAAAAATCATTGTACTTAACCACAGTTGGGTATAATTTAATGTAAAGGTTCAGAAAAGAAAAGATAGTTTTATTTCTTTAGTCCTTCTTGTTATTATTTGAACCAGAAAAAAGATCTCTTTCTTAAGTTCCTTTCCACTGAATATTAGGTTAATGTTAGTTCATTGTTCCTTGGATGTAAAAGACTGGATAACAGTAAAGAAAATGAGAAGTTGGAGTATACTCAAAGAGGCTTTACTTTGAGATTTTTTAAAGGAAAATCTCATGCATACACAACATTACTCATTACGTTTGTCTTATAGTTTGTTTTTTATTTTTCAATAATTAGATTCAGCTGACAGCATCAGGATAGATTGTTCACAACTTTAGTTTTCTTGGCTCCACAGTCAACACTCTCGGCACCAGTAGCCAGGAAATTAAAAGACGTATTGCCATGGGAAAGTCTGCTGTTAGGGACCTCTCCAAAGTACTGAAGATCAATGGTGTCTCTCTGGAGACTAAGGTGCGTCTGATACAGGCCATGGTCTTTGCTATCACTTGTTATGCATCAGAGAGTTGGACAATGACTAGGGAGGATAGAAGGAGAATTGATGCCTTTGAGCTGTGGTGCTGGACAAGAGTATTGGATGTACCATGGACTGCTAGGAAGACAAACAGATTCATCCTGGAGAGGGTTAAACTGGGCTGTTCCTTGGATGGAGGCAAGGATTCTGAGGCTCCGTCTAACATACTTTGGACATGTTGTAAAGAGAGATCAGTCCTTGGAGAGGGACATCATGCTTGGTAGGGTGGAGGGACAGCACAAGAGGGGAAAGCCCTCTATGAGGTGGATTGATTCAGTGACTGGGATAATCGGGATGGGAGTGTCGGAGACAGTGCGACTGACACAGGACAGAGCAGAGTTTAGGGCTGTTGTACATAGGGTCGCTATGAGTCGCAAGCGACTCGATGGCACATAACAACAACAACAACATGCATTTTTAGCATGGGTTCTGTAGAACTATAGTATACTTTTCATTGTTTAATAATGCAGATGATGCCAGTTTATTTTGCTAGTGTGGTAATGTCAACTTTAATCCTTTGGGTAATGTGGTTTGCCAAGTTTCTATATGTAAAGAATTTTTTTCATAGTTAATAAGTAATTACTGGGAACTGCTTTGAAACTGTGTACATATATGCTAGTCTTGAAATGGTCTGCTCACTGATTTTAGCTTCTCTTGATAATTCTTAGCTAAGTAAATACTGTGATGGTTAAAAATGATGATTTGGTGATTCCATCAATCATAGAAGAATTATCATTGTTTTACATGCAAGCAAGATTCTCCTGAAGATTATCTAGAAATGACTGGAACAGCACGTCAACAGAGAACTGCCAGAAGTGCAGGCTGGGTTTAGAAGGGGTCGTGGTACTAGTGATATTGTAGCTAATGTTAGATGGATCTTGGCTGGAAGAGGGAATACCAGAGGAGTGTCTGTGTTTCATTGATTATGCAAAGGTGTTTGACTGTGTGGATCATAACAAACTGTGGCTGATTCTAAGAATGGGAATCCCGGAACACTTGATTGTGCTAATGCGAAACGTATACTTCAACCAGGAGGCAGTCGTCAGAACAAAGGAAGGAATCACTGCATAGTTCAAAATTGGGAAGGGTGTATGCCAGGGATGTGTCCTGTCTCCATACCTTTTCAACCTGTATGCAGAACAGATTGTCCAGGAGGCTGGGCTCTATGAGGAGAAGTGTGGCATTAGGATTGGTGGATAATCCATCAACAATCTGCGTTATGCAGATGACACAACCCTGCTTGCTGAAAATGAGGAGGAACCAAAGTGCTTGCTGCAGAGGGTCAAGGACTGCATCCTTCAATATGGACTGAGGCTCAAAATAAAGAAGACAGAGATTCTCACCACTGGACCAATTGGCAGCATCAGGGTGGATGGTGAAGAGATTGAGATTGTTCACAGTTCTAGTTTGCTTGGCAATAGTCTTGGCAATAGCAGCCAGGAAGTTAAAAGATGTATTGCAATGGGAAAATCGGCTATTAGGAACCTCTCCAAAGTACTGAAGAGCAATGGTGTCAGTCTGGAGACTAAGGTGCACCTGCTATGGGCCATGATCTTTGCACTCACTTGTTAAGTGTCAGAGAGTTGGACAGTGACTAGGGAGGATAGAAGGAGAATTGATACCTTTGAGCTGTGGTGCTGGAGAAGAGTATTGAATGTACCATGGACTGCTAGGAAAACAAACAGATTCATCCTGGAAAGGGTTAAACCAGGTGGCTACTTGGAGGCAAGGATTCTGAGGCTCCATCTAACATACCTTGGACGTGTTGTAAGGAAAGACCAGTCATGCTTGGTAGGGTGGAGGGACAGCGCAGGAGGGGAAGGCCCTCTATGAGGTGTATTGATTCAGTGACTGGGGTAATCGGGGTGGGTGTGTTGGAGATGGTGAGATTGGCACAGGACAGAGCAGAGTTTAGGGATGTTGTACATAGCGTCGCTATGAGTCACAAACAACTTGACGGCATATAACAACAACAACAACAATGTAAAGACGAGCTCTATCTTTTCTAATTATGTTTGTAACTATTATTTTTGAAATGTCTCATATCCATAGCTTCTTATTTAATGGATTATAATCCATTAATATGCTCAAATTATTCTAGATATTCTTTAACAGGAACTCCTCACAACGCCTCCTGTTTGCCTTTGAAAAGTCTTCATAATTCTTTATGGAGCTCTGGTGGCTCTGGTGGAGTTGTGCTGTTAACCCAAAGGTAAATGGTTCAAATCTACCTGCTTCCCCAACAAAGAAAGATAGGTAGTCTTTTTCTGTGCCTTCTAGAGCCTCTGAAACCCTTTTGGAGTGTCAATTATGAGTCAGTTCTGATTGGACAACGCAAATCAGCTACAGTTGTCATCCTGTGAGAACATCTATACACGACAGAGGTGTCAAATAATACAGTAATTCACTTATTGTTTTTATTTTATTTTACATTTTATTACCGTAAAAGTAAAATCAATAATGTTGACACATATTTACATCTAAGAAATCATTATATGCTCCTTGTAATCTCTTCTGCAGTTTTAAATTTCTCAAAATTTCTAGTTTCCTGATGTACCATCTTTCTATTTTTTGAGTATTGTTAAGATATTAATTCTTAAAAATAAATTATGTGTTTCTTGGGTGTTTCCCCTACTGTTTCAGTAGTCTTGAGAGGAAGCTTATTATTGTTATGTGCTGTCAAGGCACCTGCAACTCATAGCGACACTATAAACAACATCCCTAAACCATGCTCTATCCCGTGCCACTCTTATTGTCTCTGACACACTTCCCCCTTTACCTCAGTCATTGAATCAATCCATCTCATTGAGGGTCTTCTTCTTTTGTGCTGTACCTCCACCCTCCCAAGCATGATACCCCTTCCAAGGACTGATCCCCCCCTTGCAACATGTCCATAGTATTTCAGACGAAGCTTCAGAATCCTTGCCTCCACCAAGGAGCATCCTTGTCTCAGTGTGTATTAAACTAGTTGTCAGAAAATTTTGATAAAATACATGTAGAATACTAGAAGCATTTTAGTTTAACAGTAAGGCAGTTCAGTCTTCCTTTTGTTTTGTAGTTACAAAGTACATAAAAGGATCACCTTCATGAATCCCTGTATTTAGTGTAGTTTACTACAGGAATAATTCTTATAACTTAAATTCACCTGAGGTTTGCATTCTAGGAAAGTAAGACTCCTCTAGGATACTTAGAGCTATAAAATTAATTCAGCCCAGCATTTAAGGTTTCCTGTTGACTTAGCCTTTTTCAGTCTTATTTTCTGCTCACCATAACAATAACCCCTGGTCTTTGCAGTCACTTGTTATGCATCAGAGAGTTGGACAATGTCCAAGGAGGATAGAAGAATTGATGCCTTTCAAAAGCTGTGGTGCTGGAGAAGAGTATTGAGGGTACCATGGACTGCCAAGAAAACAAACAGATTCATCCTGGAAAGGGTTAAAGTGGGCTGCTCCTTGGAGGCAAGGATTCTGAGGCTCCCTCTAACATACTTTGGACATGTTGTAAGGAGAGACCAGTCCTTGGAGAGGGACATCATGCTTGGTAGGGTAGAGGGACAGTGCAGGAGGGGAAGGCCCTTTATGAGGTTGATTGATTTAGTAACTGTGGTAATTGGGATGGGAGTGTCAGAGACAGTGCGATTGGCACAGGAAAGAGCAGAGTTTAGGGCTGTTGTGCATAGGGTAGCTATGAGTCTCAAGTGACTTGATGGGACATAACAACAACAAACAACAACAACATTCCTCTCTGTTAGATATCACTCATTTTTATACTTGCTCATTCTTTTTTAATGTTTCAGATACTTTGATGCTTGTACATCCAATCAGATTTTTTTTTTAGGGTGAGCTGAGTCCCATTTTCTACTGAAACCCATCACATTATCTATTTTATTGATCTTACATTATCTT